AGACTTACAAACCGAACCAGCTTTATGTTTTTGCAGTTAGCTTCATCTATAATAAATTTTTCCATCTACCGTTTTATCTCGTATGAAATTTATTTTCTAGTCAGTAGTTCTGCCAGTTAAATGCAGCTTGAATTGGACAAAAGACTGTTTGCTAATATTTGATTCCTCTTAAACACAGAGAATTTTTAGCTTTTTTTTTTTTTTTTAATTTCAAAGTTGCTTTTTTTTCCCTGGTAGGGAATGGAGGTGGCCCAAGACAATCATCTGGTTAGATTGTTGCCTGATGAATTTTTTTATTTGAGGGGTAAACAATTTAGCTCTGACACTTCTCATCCCCTCCCTTATTTTACAGTTAAGAAGTCAAGGGTCAGAGAGGTCTTCTGATTTGCATGGGATCACAGAGATAGGACTGGATTTCAGGTCTCTTGACATCCAGGACACTTTGAGGGGAAAGCCTCCCAAGTTGAATATACTTTCCATTGAGGAGAAGCTGGCTTTTTGTTACTATGGTAATGGAGGGCATTCGGGATCTTTTGACAAGTTTACCCCCTACCTGTACTACAAGGAAGAAAAAACCATTGAGCTGATCTTTATGGTGATTCAAAACACTTTAGATAGATCCTGTCACATGCTTTATAAGTTCCTAATTGATTGTGTGGAATTAAGTTATTGGGCAGAGAACCAACTAATGGAAACACATTGATGAAATCATATTTGAGGGACATTAATGGAACTTAAAATAAAACTGAAATGGCTTTATGGATTTTTCACTCAAACTGTTTATGAACATTTATTGCCAGTAAATTATATTGTGTCAAAAGAAGGAATCGGTAGGTATGGCTTTAATAGAAACCTTTTTGAAAGAGTAAAACTGAGAATAATTTATTATCTAAGAACAGATAGAGGATGGGAGAATTCACCCTGATGGATGGCTGTCCACTCTGCAGCTTCTGGGAGAGTGAAAAATGGTGTGGGAATCAGAAGCCTGATAGGGGACTTGGAAAGAAATGGTGTTTTTGGAGAGTATTAATATCTCATCTCACTGTGCATGTGAATCTCTTCTAGAAGAGATGTGATGGGAGATTTAAAATGCAAGTGTTACTTGAAAGTATAAACATTGGTATTTGTTCAGATCTCATAAAAAGATGAGCAGGTAGAGAAAGATTTAATATGCTGAAAGAGACAGTCTAGAATAGTGATCACAGACATCGGTTCCAGAGCCAAAAGATGAGAGTTCAAGTTCTGACACCCCCTTTTCATTGTGCAACCATAGGAAAGTATCCTGACTTCCCTGAGTGTCAGATTCCACATCCATGCATGGTTCCAGACATGCATAGTCCGAACCTCACAGGATTATTCTGATTATCAAAGTAAAACAATTTCTATAGTTTCTAGTTCATAGTACATGCTTTAAAAACGTTGTTTTTTAAGAGTCATAGAGGACCTGGACAAGAGGAGGAAAACATGGGAATCATAAATATTTTAGTGCTACAGGCAATATCCTATTGACCATCATCTGCTGATATCTATGTGCCAGAGATCTTATTCAATCTCCCAAGACCCCTAGGAGATAAAGTTACTATTAATATCCCTTCTTTTCAGGGAAGAAAACTGAGCATCATAGAGATTGGGTTTCATGCCCAAGGACACTCAGATAATGAGAAATTGTGGTACATTCCCCTGAGAAGTCATATCTATGAGTCTGTTTTTCCAGTATGGATGGCACATATGGGCCCCTGTGGCAAATGCATCAAAAACAAAATTGGAGGGCACCTGGTTGGATGGTGGGAGCTAAGGGAGCCTTAGTGAGTGTCTTACCCTTTACCTTGATCCCATATCCAGAGCCCGTCAATCACCTACATCCTCTGCGAGAGCCCAGACCACTGGGCCATTTTATGGGTGCCACATTCTCCTGGCATTCCGAAAACTAGGCACTAGGGTATAGTGGCTGAAAGTGGGGCCTGGAATCAGATGCCTGCATATGAATCTCAGCTCCAGCACTCACTAGCTGTGTGACTGTGGGCCCCATGTTTTTTAGCCCCAGTTGTCTCGTAGGATAAGTAGTTGTCTTGGTCTGGGGAAGAAACTACAGGCCTTTGATCTCATTTTATTTTAAAGTGATATTTGTATTTAGCCCAAATAATATTTTTTTTATTAACATACCTCTTGTATTTTAAGAGGCTCAGTTAAAATAAGTTGGACTTTGGATGTTCATTAAAAATGTAATATGATGCATGAGAAGTTTTATGACAGTAAGTTAGTACTCCTATAGAAGTGGGTGGTAGTACCAATTGGAAATAAATCCAGTAGAAGCCTTGGGAACCTCAAACTGAATTTGTCTGTATTCTGTGTATGACCTTTTTCCTGCTCACATAGAGCCTAAGATCTTATTGAAGAGATAGATGAATATCCGCAAGGCAAATAAAAATCCCAGGTAGTGTGTGTGCTCAGCAGCAAATTAGTGTTACAGTTGTTTTACAAATATTTATTGAGAGCCTCCACTGTGCTGGGCAATTTGGATACAATGGAGAATAAGACACAGTCCTCCAAGACACAAGCAAATGTGAGTGTAGGTCTGGGAAAGCTGCGGACCTAAGCTCAGGTGTGCAAAGGAGACCATGGTCATTCCACAAACATATAGTGAGCACCCATAATCTATTGGATGACTTTATATAACCTTTTTTATTCCCCCTTGGAATTGCTTTAAACGGGTGATGGAGCTAGAGGCCACTGCCTGCGGTACAGTACTTCCTGCTTGAGCTTAGTACAGCCAGATGTTAAGAAGTGGCAAATGAGGTTTTGTCAGTGTATCTGACAAATGGAGAAACAGACACAGCACAAAGTTTGAATAAAACAAAGAATATGGTGCCCGCTTTTGAGGTTCATTTTACATAAGAAAATTGGATTATTCATTCTTGGACAACTGGACTGAATAATTGTGGTGTATATCCTTACATATGCACATAGTTTGCAGAGTCATAAGAAATAAGTATTCTTGGGCTTCAAAAGGCCTTATAAAATGATAGGAGGAAGCATGAGATATTAGTGAAACATAAAGCCTCACAGAATATTACTACCAGTTCAGGTAATGAGGGTTGTCTGTGAGCAGTACTAATTGCTCTATGGGTAAGTCAGACAATTAAGGCTGATTTTAAGGGAGGTAATGCTCTTTCTCTTGCAGTTTTCACAGATTTCTTAGTGGAGGAAAGGGAGATATGAGCTGGTACTAAAGAGTCTACACAGTGTATATAGAAACAGAAACGACTATCCTAGCCTTAATCAGGTACATAATTGTTGCTTTTAATCATTAAAAAAAAAAAAGTTCCAATGGCTAAGAACTAAGCATCTCTAAGAAATGGAAAATGAAAGGATTTCAAAGGAAACCCCTGTTAACTGCAGTAGTGAAAGATGGGAGTTGCTCAATAACAGGTTTGAGATGGTACTAAGAGGTGGCTAAGGCAATTCTCTTGGGTCACAGGCACTTTAGAGCCACATCCCAATGGGTCACTCATTGTCTCATGATTTCTCCTAGCCTGTTTTACCCACTAGGCACCCTCTACAGTATCTTCGGTATAGGTGCTCCTCAAAAGATCACAAAAATCTTGGAGATGTGAAATGCATGCTCTGCAAAACAATATTTAATATAGGTGTAACAAAAACCACACTATAGTCTGTAATCCAGCCCATCTTATTCAGTTATCTTGTTAGTCAGGGTTCTTCAGAGAAACAGAGCCCATGTGAATATATATATATAGGAAGAACGTCATTGTAAGAAATTGGTTCAAGTCATTACAGAAGCTAGGAAGTCCCACCATCTGCTGTCTGTAAGATGGAGACCCAGGAAGGCTGATGGCATAATTCTGAATGAGTCCCAAGGCTGACTAAAGAACCAGTGCAATCAATGGTGTAGTCTTACTTGTATCGAAAAGATTAAATATTTTTCCAGTTGCTACAAAAGTAAAAAAACCAGTTCATCTTCCTAGACTTATCACTGTGCTAAGGTAAACCTGGATTTGTAATATCAGTGGTAATGGAAGAATTCTAGACATGATAGAAATGCAAGAGGATTCTAGAGATTCACACATGCATACACGATACTCTTCTGCCCCTTTTTGTGGCATCAAAGAACTACACCAAAAAAAAATGTATAAAAATCAACACCTTTACTTCAGAGTACAGGATACTGCCTAGCTAAGTTTAATTGAAAAACTAATATCCAGTGCAATTGTCTGTGATAAACTAAGGCGTAAATGAATTGAAAACACTTTGGGAGCAGACAAATCAGATAATCACCACCTTTATGGCTGGGAAGGTTCAGCTGGTGATGACAAGTTGTAAAGATAAAAGCTTGTAGCAAAGTCGAGAGCTAAATACCTAGATTGGGTTGGGGATCAATGTTAAATAATACTCAAAGTGTGAAAGCACTGAACTTTGAATGATCTCTCACAGTGTTCTGTTTTGTTCAACTTTTCAAGATAATAGTGTAGAACTTTACAGAAAAATGCTTTGCTGAATTTTATTAGGTGAATAGTTTACAGTGTTAGAGTGTTCTCCACCACGCACCCATTGCTGAGATGTTGTACGTGTTCCGTAGTTGTGCCCCACACTGCAATAAGAAGGCTTCAGCTGCTGTTTTTCAAAAACATTTCCAGTTGGGTGACTATTAACAGTTGATGAGACACAAGAGTTAGATCACGCCATTTCTAGCCATCTTTTTTTTTTTTTTTCTTAATGTTAACTTTGTATTTGCCTCATGGCCTCACTCTGATCTCAGCAAGAACCCTTTCAAAAGAAGCTCCTTGTTTTTTCACAGGCTGTTTGCATGATTTGATTCAGTGCTCCCCTCTCTCTAAAGATAGAGTGCTAAAGCCAATGGCAAAATGTGTGCTTTGGGTTGTGGGAAGGATTCAGTACATTTAGCTCCACTCATTGTGCTGATCATGCCCCCAGGTGACACGCAAAGTCTCCAACCTTTGTTTGCTTTTTTCTTTTGTTTACAGGAGCGGAGGGCACAGTGTTCCCTAAATCTATAGAGACACCTAATGTCAGGGCAGACCCCTTCAAGGAACTAAGGTAAACTTCCAACTATGCTTTGCATTGATTAGTGGCTATTTCCTTTGTCTGAGCAACTGGCTGATGGTCCAGTTTGAGTATAAGGAATGTAATGGCGTCACAACATGAATATACAAACTGGGAGAGATTAGGAAGGACATGAAGATAAGCTACAGCCAAGGAAAAATTTTCCCTGAGAATTTAAGAAGATTGAGTGTTTGGAGGAAGAGGTTGCCAGCCTTGTAATTAGGAAGGGAGGATTCATTCATTTGCACTGCTTGTTTCCTGCCATATTTTGTGGGACAAAACACCTAACCAGTTACAGAACTAGTCAGTAATTGGTGCCGATCAGCCCAAAGAGAAGTGGGATCTAAAAGAAACGAGACTCTAATACAGTATAGATTTTTGTTTGTGTGCCACAATCTCCCCATTAGTTGGAGTGTTGTGGTACTGAACTACTTTCTGTGGATATTCCCTGTGCTGGTGCTAATCTTCAAATAGCTATAATTGTGTTGTCTTTAGCAGAAAAAGACTGAGATACTGTATACTTACCACCAACAACTGAGGAAACAAAAAAGAACAATAGATATACATACAGATAAATAGACAAACAGAGATAGATATAACCTAAAAACCATTACAGCCACCAAAGGACTATCCCTGGCTCCAAAAATGAAACCCATAAAAATAATATGTTGACGCAAATATAACATTATTTTTTACCATATACTTTTGATGCAGGCAGGCTGGGACCCAGAGGGGACTCCCACAGGACCGGCCAACACAGTCCTGGGCTTCATGTAGGCTAGAAATCAAATACAATCAGGAGAAAGTGAAAGCATAATTTATTGACTAGCATGAGTGACAGACAGAAAATAGCAGATGGAATGTCTGGGATATTTGGAAAGGAAAGGAGGAATGCTGGAAAAGGGTCTGAGGTATGTGTTCCTCCAGGAATCCAGGGTAGGGGGTGATCAATGGCGAGTATTGGGTGACCAACAGGTATTATTCCATAAGTCACTGAAGGTAGGGGGTGTTGATGCCAGTGCAGGCCGAGGTTTGTTGGACGATAATATCCTGGAACATGTTTGGGTTGTGGCTCTTCTTAGATATTATCAGCTGTTGGACCTAGAACAAAACTCAAAGAAAGATTAGCTTTATTGCTTCTACCGGAAGTGGGAACATAGCTCCTTTGGCTTATTCAGAAATGGGGCCTAGAAGAAAAATAGCAGAGATGGAGCTTTTCTAAAACGGAGTCTCTTCCACTTCCCTATCTCACTTACAGCCATGAGGAATTCAGTGAATGCTGGCTTTCTTCATGTCTTGTAGTTCTTATAACATAAGTCATCATAAATAATATTGAATGTTTCATGGTAGACATCAAACATAAGCAAATGTGTTTGTTATATCTACTCTTTCAAAATGCAGCCCTGAGATCTCTGTCTTGCTAAAACAGCAACAGCCATGTTGGAGTTTGTATTTCCCTAAACAGAAACACATTCTCAGTAAGTGGGGAATATATCTCCTCATTACAGAATGCCTAGCATTCATGCAAAGCTTGTAAGGCTTTATGACTATAGGGAGATAAATTGGGCCAAAGGAAGAAGATAATTGGTGAAGAAAGAGAACATTTTCTTCACTAAATCCCATATACCTTGGGCTGTATTTTTAACATTACATGCTACATTGCAAGACTTTATTTTCTCCTAGAATAGTCACTTCCATCCCAGGGCTTCTACCTTCCAGAAGTTACCTGTCATCTAGATCCTTTGTTTCATCTTAGGCACTAAAGCTGGAATTTTTTCAGCAAATCCACCCAAGGAAACCTACGTTTTAGGACTCTGAGAGCACCCTCATTCTCTGAGAGTGCAGTGAATCCTCGTGTTTGTGATGTAAGAGCTCTTTTGAGACAAGCTACTGTGTGGCCTGTTTCCCTTTTCACAGACCTCTTTAGGAGCAGGATTCTTTTTAACACAACTAGTCAGTAATTAGTGCTGATCAGTCCAAAGAAAGGTGCTACCTAGAAGAAGCTGGCCTCTAAATATAATCCACTATTTCCTCCCCTCCCCATGGAACAAGTGTTCCATTACCTGGAAGGCATGGAAAATATGCGAGTCAAGAATTTAGGCTAACTTTGCTTTATTTTTTAAATTTTTTTTGAAAATCCATTTCTGTTTTTTTTCTTTCATAGTTTATTGTCAAGTTGGTTTCCATATAACCCCCAGTGCAGGCTAACTTTGCTTTAAATAGAAAATAAACCTGTGATTGAACACAAACCCAGCCTACATCAAACAGATAAAAAGCTAGTTCTCCAAGCATCAGCCCACTTTAGAGATCCATACTCTGAAAATTTTAGAGCACAGCCATTGCTCATATAGTGCAGTACACTATGGTCCGCTGTTGACACCTGTGGAAAACCCTGGGAACTTGCTTTAAAAAAAATAATCTCCAGAATTTACAAGTGAATCTCCTGAGTCTGAGTGCCACAAAATAAGGACTTTGCTGGTTGCTTCATTTCCATTGTTTGTTTTAAAGTTGTAGGCATATTCTGCAGAAACCAGAAATAAAATTTTCTTGTAAGACACATGAAAAGGCTTTCATGTGTCATTCTACAACTGGAATGTAGAATGTTTGCCCCTATTCAAATTGTGTTGATGGTTGATAGCCTGAATACAGTCAGGGCTTAGAATGTAATAATTGGACTCTTCATCCTTACAATTTTTTTTTTATTTTAATGGTGCTTTGTAGGAGAATCTGAACAATTGAAAGATAATGAAATATAGCTGATAAATTAGCGCAGACCTTTGGGCTAATGGATCTGTGGATGTTTCACCTTTCTCATCTGATGGTACCACATTTTACTCTGTGCTATTAAACAGTATTGACCTTGGATATTGAGTAAATAGGTAATGACTTGATGACAAAGTTTTCAGGCCTCTGGCTTTACAGTTGGATCAGGTTTACTGATCCAGCGCATTTGTGCTGGGATGTCTTCTCATCTTAGGAAAGTAGAATGATCTAAGGGAGATCCCTGGATCTGTGCCAGCAGGTAGCACTGGTGAACTGAGTGAACTGTTCAGGTGAGGCAGAAGTGGTCCACTACTCAGGAGCAGCACAACTGAGGGGAAGAATATGGAGGTAGGGGTCAGTTACCTACAGTAAACACACTATATAGCCTTGGGCTAATCCTGGAGCCCTCATATCTGTAAAAAGCCAGGTCCCTTCAGGCTCCAAACAACTAATCCCTTTATATTATTTTAATTTTTTATTATAAAATAATTTTAGATTAACAGAACAGTTGCAGGGCACCTGAGTGGCTCAGTAGCTAAGCATTGGACTCTTGATTGTGGCTCAGATCATCATCCTGCGGTTTGTGGGATGGAGCCCCATGTCACATTCTCTCTCTCTCTTTCTCTTCTCTCTTCTCTCTTTTCTTCTCTTCTCTTCTCTTCTCTTCTCTTCTCTTCTCTTCTCTTCTCTTCTCTCTCTCTCTCTCTCTCTCTCTCTCTCTCTTTCTCTGCCTAAATCCATGTCCTTCATTTACCCTAAATATCAAACATGGAAAAAAAGCATTTATTTTAGAGACCTCCTCTGTTGAGATAACTTGTTTCTTCCAGTGTCAGTTTGGATTTTGAAGGGGTTTTTTTGTTTGTTCTTTCATTGTTTTTTTTTCGTTGTTGTTGTTGTTTGTTTGCTTGCTTGTTAATGAGAAGCAGATGTTAGGCCTCTAGCACATCTTTCTAGAAGATCTCAATCCTCTGCCTAAAGAGTGGTCGCTCCTCTCTGCTAGAGTTTCGGTTCACTGCTTTCCTTCTCAGAGTTACTATACTTACTGTATTCACATTGTTTACTTAATATGTTTGTAAATAATCCAGAGTTGAGTTGAAAAATCACGAAAGAGGGTTGCTTCTCTCCTGACAAATAATGAGTGTTAACAAAGGTCTGAGCCCAGTATCCAATTTGGGTGGTTTGTTGACCTTGCCCCTGCAGGACAATTCTGAAATAATGACATGTTGCTCTAGATTCAAGACTCCACTGAAAAACAATCTACCAAGCATTATGCCTGTCTCTTGAAATAAGAAAACCTAACTTGAAATAGGAACTGGATTTTAATACATTCATGATCTGAAATTCACAATCTGATTATATTAAATGTTCACTTGTTCCTTTTTTTTTTTCCTGGTGTCTGTATATAAAGACAATTGGAAAATTCCCTGATCTCAAGCTGTGCATGATCTGAGACAGGAAATAGGCCATTTAGTTTTGCATATGTATTTTCTGTAAGAACAGAAGCTACCTTTGAATGCCTACCTTGTTCTAAGGATTCTTTTTTCAACTGTGAAGCTCTCTGTAAGATTCTGATCCTAAAGGAACAGGAAACAGGCTGTGAGATCTTATTTCCCAGACGTATGCCAGGGCAAATGTAAAAAATGGGAGAAGGTTACCTAGACCACTGAACACATAGAGGCAATTCTGTTCCTCTAGATATCACTAAAAGCTTGGAAGGAGCCACAAAACACCAAGAAACCAAAAGATCTTTACAAAAGAATTTTTCATCAACTAATGTGCAGACGTGTTTTTACTCTACATGCAGTTATGATAAGGGTGGTGACCTGATTTCCATTTCATCATAAATCAGTAACTATTTGCCAGGTTTTTAGAATTTTTTTGACACTTACTAGGAGTCAAGGCATGTGCTAAATATCTGGGATATAGAGAAAAATGACCACTCAAGTAGTTTATAGTTAAGGGGAATAAGATAGATATGCAACCCAAATACAAGGTAATATGATAAGTGATAGAATAGATGTATGAACAAAGTCAGAGGACACATGGAGGAATGACACACAGAGAATTCTACCTGAGAGGGTTAGGTATGGCTGTCCAAAGGAAGGGATATTTTAGTCGCACGATGAAAGAAAAAAGCTGGTAAGTAGGACTCAGGATCTAAAAAGCATGGTTCTCTAGGTCCACTTAACGTAAAGCCAAATAGGCCAATGTATTTCTGTAGTTTCCAAGAA